GGCCCATGTTCATCTTGGAGTCAATAATGACTCCAAGATCCCTTTCTGCCTCCGTGCTCTCAAGAAGGGAGTTTCCCATTCTATAAGTGTGCTGCTGGTTTCTACTGCCTAAGTGCAGCACCCTGCACTTGTCAGTATTGAAACGCATCCTGTTTATGTCAGCCCACTCCTGTAACCTATCCAGCTCTTGCTGCAATCTTTCCCTCCCTACTAGTGTGCTCACCTCACCCCAAATTTTGGTATCATCAGCGAATTTAAACAGGTTGCATTTCACCCCATTGTCCAAATCGCTGATGAAGAAATTGAACAGTGCAAGCCCAAGGACCCGAGCCCTGGGGGACTCCGCTGCCCACTTCCCCCCAGGTTGAATATGACCCATCCACCACCACCCTCTGAGTACGACCCTTGAGCCAATCTGCACTCCATCTGACTGTGTAGGCATCAATCAATGCCACAGTCGCCTAGTTTTTTAATGAGGATGGGGTGGGAGACAGTGTCAAAGGCCTTGCTGAAGTCTAGAAAGACTATGTCCACGGTGACACCTGCATCCATTGCCTCTGTGACCTGATCATAAAAGGCAATCAGGTTGGTCTGACATGACCTGCCCCTAATGAAAACGTGCTGGTTGCCCTTGAGCATCATCCCTGAAGCCGCCCATCACAGATGTGCTCCTTAAGGATCTTCTCAAAGAGTTTCCCAATGATAGAGGTAAGACTGACGGGCCTATAGTTGCCCGGATTGCCCACCCATGTACATGGCGTAGCAGGGCAGGCAAACACCTACTTGCTCAGACAGTGCAGCTTGCTGGGGGTGCCCACCCAAGTGCCTGGTGCAGGGGGGGAGAGGGAGGGGAGTGTCTGCCCATGCACGTGACCCCCAGGCACTCTGAAGTTGGACAGCCCTGTGCTACGTAACAACAGCTAGGATAATGCTACTCCATGTTCAGCATCTGGGTGTGAGCTGCAGCATCTTTGAGAAAAACATGTATTGTTAATGGAATTACTGCAGTGATGGAGAGCCCTGCACAACCATAACAGTGGATTAATAAATAAAACCATTGACTAGGAAGTTGTTCCAATGGCTAACTATCCACATAAAAAAAGCAAAGACTATATCTTTCTTCAATTCCTTGATGAAGGTTCTCTATTTATAATTACTTTTACAGACAAATGTATCATTAATCAATCCATTAAACTAGTTTTTAATCCACAAATGCAGTGGAGGCAATACTTACCTGCACAGAAAATAAAGTGCTGGACCCTCCAGATCAAAGGCCCAGTGAAAGTGTTAAAAGCCCTACCTACTGTAAAAGATTGCTTTCCCCAGACTGCTCTTCTTCAAAATAGCACTTTCTAGCACCGTTTGTAAAGTGCATTCAGGTTAGAAATAAGCCAAACAGATGTAATTAGCTTATACAACGGCACTACTTATCTCTATGCCAAAATGCAGCGGGAAAATATAAATGCATGAATGGGGGAAGATAATAGGATGACATTTTGCACCGGTTATGTAGTTCAACACCCTGCGTGACCTGCAGCTGATGTAGCAGTGTTAATTGGCTACATGTGAAAGAGATGGGATGTTTTGGACCAAACCAAATCCTATTATCTCACAACTACAAATCATACTGGAATTTCTTTTTTTTACCTCAAGTATTTCCACATCAATTGTAATGAATAATTTGGTGCATCTTCTTAGGGAAATATGTAAATTACTGTGTAATCACAATATTGCAGCAAACAAGATAAATGCAAGAATGATCACCTAAACATCTAATTAGTTTCTCTACACAGTCAGATTTATGCTAGAGCTTCTAATTGCAGCCTAACATTTTAATGAAGGTTTCAACATTGCATAAATAAGACTGACAAACTATAAACAATATTCATTTATTTTATTTATTCCTTTGCTCAAAAACAATTTACCTTTGTAAAACTATTGCACACCTGCTAGGGAAGATATGTTTATGCGCTCTCTGCTACAAATCTAAAGAATTGCCATTATAAATAGCAATGGAAGTACCACAAGCAAATATGGCTGATCCTGTGATAGAAGACCATTGCAAATGAAAACCCTAGGGATAGTTAACATTTTAATATTTAGTCTGAATAGGTCAACAATGCATTTTATGAAAGGAAGAACTGAAAAACGTAAACAGTTTTCTTCACATAGCCTTTTCATCACAGGGGCCTGCATCAATTTTCTCCCGAAGTCAGCTAGCTCCCTAAATGCTCTGCATCCGGGTGGCTCAGTGTTTCTGCAACAGGCACTCTTTGACAAGAGAGTCTGGAAAGCCACGCTTCTTTCCCAGACCTGACATTGGGGGCCTGAAGCCTAAAATCTTGTCACCTATCTCCCAATTATACAAGTTAGTCCAATAAGAGAGATTACTTCATTACATATACCTTGCTCATAGCTTCTTTTCTTTATTTTTTAAATAAAAATCTTGCTTGGTTTTGAAATGCAAATGTAAACGTAAATGTTGGAGATTGTTTTGGAGACAAGGGCTGTTTTTTGTTCTGATGTGATACCAGCAGCATACAATCATTTTGTAGACAATTTCTGCACAGTATTTTTAAGTTGACAAGAATGATTTCCTGCCCAAAGTCATGTGTACTGTAGTGATGTTTTATTTAAGACAATGAGGCCTCACCTTCACTGTTCAATCTTTCCCCCTCCAAATGTATCCCTCTTCTCTGCAAACGTTTTTTCTAAGATACTGCATGTTCAACACGTACTTGGAGGGGAGCATTTATGCCAGAGCCCAGAAGAAGGCCCCATCCTTCTCAGAACAGCTAGTTCTTCAAGACAGACTCACCCACAGCTGCAAGGTAGGCAGCTAGAACGTTATGGCCATGACGTAGTCAAACGTCTGCATATAAAACCGGAACTGGAGTTTGCAAACATGCCAAAGCACCAGCCAAGAAGAACAAGGATAGCAGGGCATGTTGGACATGCAGCCTCAGGGAACAGAAATCTACTGCTTGGTTTGGTACTTTTTTAACCTGGTCTTGAAAAACAGTATACATCGTGCAGGGTCCAAGCTTCTCTTTGACCCACAGACTTTCTGGTGGTATTTTTATTAACACAATTAACAATAAAATGCATCTCAAGCTTTCTTCCCAGATTGCCTGTGCCTATATTTAGTCTCAGGACTGCTTATGACCACCATAGCCCCTCTAGAGATTCATGTCCATCTGTCCCAAACTTGCATAAAGTAACAAACATATTATTTTTATTGAATGTGAGCCTATGGACTCCTCTGTTTCATGTTAAACAAGTAAGTCATGGGAAGGACAGTCTCCTGAGGCACGCTGCTTGCAATCCAGGCAAACGGAAACTCAACATTATCCAGAAAGTCCACATTCTCAGGATGAGAGGTAACAGGCAGACACAGAAATGTATAGCAACCACTATGCAGAAATGCCATCATTTCAGTATGGTAAATCCAATCGCTTGTGAACGCCCTCTGCATCAAAACAGAGCTAACTCCGCATTAACCTATGTTGGCTAATTTTGAACATGCTGCTCACCCTGGGATTGGAATGTGTGTGTTTGAGAGAAACCTTTTCTCTCAAAATATCACTAGTTTTCCCTTTTGTTTTTTGGCACGATGACATTCTCTTATAGACAGGAGCCCATGGATGAAAAACACACGACAATTTTTCGGTGGGGTAGGGAGGAGAAGAGAAGGACACACAGGTTAGTGTTTTATGAATTAAAGAAAAATAAGTGATGCAATTTATATTACATAGTCAGCTTTAATAAATGCAACTCAACTCTGCATAGGTACCAAAATAATTAAAAGGAGAAATTTAACTGGGACAAGCAAAAATTCAGGTATTCTTGATGACTGGGTTCTTCAGTGTTAAATTTAATAAGGATTTAAAGAATGATTTATTTTACTTCTCTTTAATCATGAAAGTAGGGAAGATTTTTTTTATGTGCTGCTCTGCTACTCTTTGTTTAATCCTGCAAATCTTTATCAATGCTCTAATGCAATTCTGTTGCAGGGTGTTTGATTTCCATAATCCCTAAAGCAGAGACATTTATATTTTATGTGAACTGGTTCAGAATACTTTGAAATTTATAACATTGAAATAGTCTCTTACCCTGGATAGAACAGAGATGTAAAGCAACAGAAAATTAGTGCCATACCATTGATTATCTCGGGGGGGGGGTTGCCAGTATTTTTTAACCAATATCTTCTATGAATGGTCCTGTCTGGTAATGATTCTTGGGGTAGATGGAGCTTCACAGTGTGACGATCTGCTGTTCCATTAGTAAAAAAATGAAGCAAAACTTGTAGTGTTGCAGTAATTATCATAAAGAAGTAAGGTTACAAATTACTACATTGTATTTGACACAATAACTGTACATGCAACCACTGCAGAATTAAACCCAGCATTTGAGCAGAAACAAGCAGATATGAACTTGCTGTATGCATACACTAATACATACATCTTCTATGCAGCCTACTTGGCACTCTGCTTTCAGAATTTTGTACTTGATTTTTCTAGTAGCATTTGGAGGAATGAAAGGCCAATCTTCTATGTGTTGAAGTCAATGACAAAACTTTGATAGGTTTGAATGACGCAGGTCAGGTCTTGTATGAACACTGTAAAGGGAATTATTTCAAACTGGTGTAATTTTCTAAAGAGCCTAATTATGTACAGATCAATTTATTTGGCTTGCCCCTTTACCTACTTCTTTACTCTTAGAAATCTGTGATTTAGCAACATCTTATAACCTAATAGAACAGACTTTTCTGCTGAATCCTGCAATCAAAGGAACTATATATATAATAGCATTTATGTAAAAATTGCAAAAAAAAATGTTAAACTCACGAAGTCAACACTCAGGAGTTAGGAAATGCTAAAGTAAAGTGGCTTCTGCAGCCTTTGTTCAGGCTGCTTACAGAGAGATGCACACATTACAGATTTACAGAGCTACAGACCATCAGAGAGCACCAGCATCACAGGCCATTAAACTTCACCAGTTAACCCTGCACTAAGCTCAGTAAAATAGAAACAAAGGATAGGTTGGGATCCATGGGGTTACCGAGTCAGGTTCCTTGCAGTCCCAGGCAATCACATTCTTTAGAGCTTTTTATAAACTGATCTCTCATACAAATAATTATGATTTCTCCACCCTCTACTCCTGCCAGGAGGCTCTTCCAAACGTCCTCGCTCTGCTACCTAGAAACCTCCCAGGTTCCAGCTACATTTATTCGTGCCACTTCTTACCCATTTGTTCTTGTACCACTGTTGACATTTCACTTAAATAGTGCTGCTTCCTTCTCAGCTTTTATTCCTTTATAGAACTTTACAAAACAATGGTTCTGCATCTCTGCTTTGCTATGCTAAACAAGCCAAGCTACATTTCTCCCCTCTCGCTTCCCCTGACCATCCTAGTAGACCTTCTTGGCATCTGATTCAGTTTCTATCAAGCATGTTTCATTAATGCAGTCCTGCTTTTTTATGCCATAAATGAACATATTAAAAGAAGGCTGAAAGGAGACAGGGCATCTCTTTATAAATAGTTCAGTGGATTAAAATTCAAGGAGGGAGAAGAACTGGAATTGAGATTTTTTACCCATCAGAGAAACTAGATTCCAGAACAACTTTCTAAAAGGATTTCTTGTCCTCATTGCTTCTTACTGTTTTTAAGATGGAGCTGGATTAGTTTATGTAAGGAAATATATGACACAATTTCCTGTGATAGCAGGTGGCTGGACTCAGTGACCCAGGAGGTCCCTTACAGTCTCATATTCTCAGGATGCAACATTATTTTATATAAGTAGCTCTGTTATATGGTCCTCCTAATGTAGCAATAAAATCTAAAAAACATCATCTTTTGTTGGGTCAATGCTTGTTTAGAAAAGATATATGTTAGCTACCACACTGAGGAATAAATGAGAACCTCTATTATTAGTTGCATTTGTTCTCCAATCAATATCTATAAAGTTAAAGTCTTCTAGAATGACAGCTCCTATCTGTACTTATCTCCCTAGTTTCTCTGCAATCCATATGAAAATATGACTCAGAGGGTCCATACAGCAACTTTAACAGCTCCTCAAAACTAGCCCTTTTTCCATTCTTTCCCACAGTGATTTTGAACTAAACCAGTTCTGTTTTACCCCTGTTCTCCGTTCTGATTTCTTTATACTCTTATCACCTCATTAATGTACCATTTCCCTCATTTTTACATGTATTTCTGTTTCCTGCGGTAGTCACCACTCTGTTTCTAGTCTAAGAACTGCCATGGGGCAGAGGATTAAGGGGGCCTGGTATGGTATCCCCTAAGGCTGGGGAGCCTCTCTCAAAAAGAACCCTAGCTGAGTTATCTGAGCCCTCTCTGGGAGTGCTGGGCCTTGGCCTTGCAGCTCTGTCACTGCACAGAAGCCAGTTCAGCCCTTCAGAAGTGCCAGTCTCCACTAAGGAAACTGGGTTGGGCATCAGGCAACGAAGAAAAGAGAAGGCTTGGGGGACTTGATGGAAGCCTATAAGTATATAAGGGGTGTGCATCAAGAACTGGGAGAACATCTGTTCACCAGGGCACCCCAAGGGAAGGCAAGGTCTAACAGTCACAAAGTCCTGGAAGACCATTTTAAATTGGACATAAGGAAAAACTTCTTTACTGTCCAAGTCTCCAGTCTGAAACAGACTCCCCGCCAGAAGTGGTGCAAGGACCTACTCTGGACACATTCAAGAAGTGTTTGGATGATAACTTTGCTGGGGTCATCTGACCCCAGCTGACTTCCTACCCATTAGGATGATCTCATGAGGTCCCTTCCAGCCCTGTTGTCTATGAAATCTATGAAATCCATATTTTAAACCTGCAACAGCAGCTCTGCTTGTTTAATCTTTGTTCTGGTGTACAAATAACTTAGTTGCACAGAGATCGTTGAAAGTTTCTAGCAAGAAAGTTTCTAGCAATGGTAGAAAGCCATATTTTCCACTAATCTGATTCTAGCATTAATTTCCCTAAAACTTGCTAAGCTGGCCAAAGTTTGGCAAAGTTATAAGCAATGGAAAAAATGGAAACATAATAGAAAGTGTTAGCCATCTTCAACGTTGTGTGTTTGTCACAGGGCACTAAAGTGTGCCTGCTCCCTTTACGAGCAGAAGCAGCTTATCTAGAGAGCCCTGAGAGCTAGGCAGGGCTCCACAGCTGCAAGTAGCCTGGGCAGTGGGCTAATGAGGGAATTAGCCTGCACCTGTACTGGTCAACTGGCCGGAAGGAGACAGGGCCCTGGGCACATATAAGCCCCAAGGTTGGGGCTGGCTGGAGTTAGTGCTCTGGCTACAGCCAGGAGGAAGCAGCTCTTGCAGAAGAAGCTACTTGGAGCTGCTGGGTTGCCTATTTTGCTGCAGGTAAGACTGGGCTCTAGGAGCTCCTAAAGTACCTCGGGCTAGGAGGCACACATTGCTGAGAGAAAAGCTTGCTTTCTTAAAGGAGCAGAGTGTGGCCTCCAGTCTCATGGTTATGGTTATGTTGTAGCCCAGGGGCTTGTATTCATGTTATGTGGACTGGGATGAAGCTAAGTAGGGAGGAGGCCTCATTGGGCAGACTACCGTGCAGACAGCCCAGAATTGGAGAGGGTGCAGAGACAGGGCTGCAGAGCTCCCAGCAACTAAAGGAGGCTGAGCTGGACTAAGGCCTCATCAAAAGGGACAATGTTTAAATACCACCTGTGCAGCATAGGATGTGGTAAAGAGAAGGTTTTGGAGCCATGCACCTAGGCCATAAGGTTTGGGGTGCCTCACAAGGCAACTACTTATAGCAGGACCCAGCAAGGGGTCTCAAGAACCCACAGGGTTTAGTCAAGTCCATCAGGACTGTGATTGCACAGCAATATGAGGGCAGCCTCCCTATCTATATCTTAACCAACAAGACATGGCAGGTGAGACTACAAAGCGCCCGCAGGATGAAGCTGGCACAGTCACGGAGCCCTGGAGGCATCACGGCCATCCCAGTGTTGCTAACATATCTGTTAATGTTAATCTCTTTCATTATGACTTTCTGGTACTATCAGTTGGGGACATAAGATGGCACAGGAAGAAGCAACAGCTATTTAAACATAAATATTACCAGTTAGCAATCTTGACAAATAATCATGACATCAGAGGTAGAGACTTATGTAAAAGCTACCTGCAGTTGGAAGTTGCAGCTCTAAGCAAACAGGCTGATGCTACAGTTAACAGTCAATCCTTCTTTGCAAGCTGTTGGGCACAAACACCCTTTTTCAGGCAAGAAGGATGCCTGAAAAAGGGTGTTTGTACCCAACAGCTTGCAAAGAACAATTTTTCCAGCTAATTAGTTGGTCCAAGGAAAGATATCGCATCTACCCAAAGAATGTTGTTCACCTGTGTCCTTAGACTAACATGGCTACAACCAACACCCCTGAACCAGTCAATCCTTGGGTATTCTTCCATGTGGATTCTTACCATTTTGACTTGCAGTTTGATTTGTTTGGTGAATGTTTTCTTTGTCTCTCTGATCTAAAGATTCAGAGCATAGCGAGGGTGCTGGTTCAGGCTGCTCAGCATCCTGTAGCAATTCGCTTCCCTTTTCTAAGGTTGATTGCTGGCATGATCTATTACTCCGGCTCCCCACAGGTTTTACCTTTAAAGTAGGGGGACGAGAGAAGAGAGAGAATTATTTAATAATATGCAATATAAATTACTCTAACAAACTATTGAAAAAACAAGTGAAACACTGATGTGTGATTGTTTATTTTTCATCATAAATTTTCCACAGTAAATTTTTTTGAGTGAAGGAAGACACTGAAGTGCCTATGTTGCCTCTCTTTGCCTTTTAACTGCTTTCCCTGATTATACACCCTGTGCCTGTACGTTGGGAGAGAGGAAGGGAAAAAATGAAGGTAGTGGAGGGCACCAAGCCAGAATCCACTTCGGGTTAAGCCAACACAAGTTGATTCCCTTCCTCACATGTAGGAAGCTGATATTTCAAAAGCACATTGCCAATACTATGGACAGTAACAAGGTTAAAAAGTTTGGGGAGCTGCTTCTACAGTACGATTCCCTTTAATGGAGGTTCTCTTCTGTGTTTGTGACTCAAATCTCTACAGGCATAGCCTGTCTAGCTTAAATTCATTGTTACTGGATGCCTGACCTTGCAAGTCCTCAGTTTATGGTGAGGAGGGACTGTATTCTGGAAAGTGCTGACAATGAAAGTTTGGGGAGCTGTAAGTGCTAATTGGCTAAACATGAACTGGCAGCATGGTGTCAAATGTAATGCAATCTCCAGGTCTATGAAGGGAAACACTGAGTAGGAGTAAGGAGGTTATATTATCTCTGTATTTGTCACCAGCAAATGCACAACTGGAATATTATGCCTAGTTCTAGCTCCATAACTGGGGGGGGAAGAGGGGGGATGGTGACCTGCTGAAGCAAGATCTGAGTCCCAAAAATAATTCAAAGATTGAGGAATTTTTTTCTTCAGTCTCAAAGATATTATTAGAATATGTTCATTTTACAGAGAGTCACAAGGGTGACTTAAGCAGTCTGTAAGTACCTACGTGGGGAAACAAGCAGGATCATGAAGAGGGTTTTCCAATCTAGCAGACAAAAGTATAACAAGACCCAATAGCTAGAAGCTGAAGCTAGACATCCAGAATAGAAATATGTTTTAAGCTTACAAATGAGGGTAACTAACCACTGTAGCAGCTTACCAAGACCTGTGTATTCATGATCACCGGACACTTTAGAATCAAAACTAGTTCTTTTTCTAAAAGACATGCTCTCGTTCAAACAGGAATTAATTCGGGGAAGCCTTGTTGTTTATGAAGGACAACATGTCAAACTAAAAGGTTTCGGCAATCTCCTCTGGCTTTATGATCTATGTGTCCCTTTCCCATGAGAATATTTGACAAGCATACTTGGAAAATACTTTGCTTTTGGTAAACTTACTACTTATTTGTAATCTGAACTATGCTGCTGGGTTTTTGGTTGTAGCTGTATTGGTTAATGACATGGGCAGGCAAACATTTTAGCTTTTCTTCTTACCTCTCCAGATGCCCTGGTACTAAGTCTTCTGCCAGAAGGTGGAGGTGGTCCAAGGACCTTGGATCCAAATGCAATGTGTGACACATCTTGAGTTTTACAGTGGCGGATACTGCCTTGTCCTCTATTAAGTAACTGGTCTATTTGCAAGGATTGATTGGGGGAGGAGGGAAAGAAGACGGATTTAAAAGAACTGACTTTAAATGATCATTATGCTTTAAACTGAGTGTAATTATAGGCAGAAAATATCACAGTATTTAAATAGAAAAAGAGGTCTTAAATTCCTCTATTCTTACTCTTATAGTCACTTAGAAATTATTTTTACAAAACATACAGGAAATAAATCCAAGAAATAGCTATGTTTCTCTCTAACAACCCCCAGAGGTATAGATTCAGGCATTATTTTACTGCTAAAAAAATGGATGTATATGCCTTTTCCTTACCATCATATAATTTACCCACTTGAAGCAAAAAGCTCCTGGTCAATATGATTTATTTTTTAATTTAAAAGCTTTTTAATAACTGTGGTTACAAGTATCATGTTTTTTCTACATGACAATGAAAGAATGACAACAAAACAGCTAAGTCTGAATCGGGCAGAAGAAACGGCTCAAATCAGTCAAGAATCAAAGTAAAACAGTAGTTAGTTAGTTACTCAAGGTATTGGTTACAAATCTGAAGTAACTGAAACAAGAATCGCTTCTCTTTCCTTCTACCATCCAGAGACAGCTCAGTTTCTAGTGTTGCCCAGCAGTGCTGTATACAGACCTGAGCAACTTCCCAGTAATTTTTTAAATTCCAGTTTTTAATGAATCTCTAACTTTAAAAAAAAAAAAAAATCCCCCCCAACATGTTGACAACATTTTTAAACAGTTAAAATGCTGTCAGCTGAATAGCTGGTCAAAGCAGGAAAAAACAGATGGAAATTTTGAGTATCAACCTAGTGGTAACTGGCTATGCAGAGGCACACAGCTTCTCTTCGGAGAGCTATGGGCAAGAGGCTATTTTTGTTTGTTTGTTTTGTTTTTTTTTAAGGTTCTCCTAACATTATCTTATCAAAGTCTCTCCCTTCTAAGGATGATAAAGGTGGAGGACATCTTCATAACACAATTACACAGCTCAAGAAAAAGCAATGCTAATAATGCAGTTTTATGGGAAAAGAGACACTTTTCTTCAATGTAAGTTGATATCTATCTTCTGTCTTGATGCAAAATTTCTGTAAAACATTAGTGTTAAAGCAAAATATTCTAAAGTAGTCTAAAATTCATAACAAAGCTAGTTAAATGAAGTCAGATCTACTTGACTTTCTTATTCAGTTAAAAAATTTCTATATTCATACATTCACCAGCACATGGCATAATTCACTTGTAAAATAAAACAAGAGAAGCCCTTGTATGCCATGAGCTTCTTGTTCTCCTCTTCCTTAGCTCATATTCAGTTGCTATTACCAGCTGCCATTTCAAAGATAACCCTTTCCAGTTTACATCAATTTCTTTAATTTGCTGACTGCTTTGGGATGCTGTCCACATACCAATTATAAAAGATGATTAACATAAAAATCTCCATTTATGATCACATGAATTAATTGCCTACATCAACACATACCAGTCACCTGCCATAATGAAAAAACATGTGTAGTTAACAAATAGATGTGATCAAAAATAATTTGGGCTTTGGTTAGTAAACAAGAAAAAAGTTTAGTGGACTGAAAAGAAAAGGTTTTTTTGTTTTTTGCTTTTTTGTTTTTTTTTAATTAAACTAACTTAAACTTATCAAAGCCAGCATGTGCGAAAAGGCCGGCTATCTGAACTCTGAAGGAGGAGCATCCAGAAGCACTCATGTTACTTTCATAGTACAAGGCTAAAAATAAAGATTAGATTAAACCTGTAGCTCAAGGCATTCCATTTTTTTGCTAACTAGAGAAAATGAACTTTGGGCAGGTCAAGGATGTTACCACTAATTATTTTGCCACATTACCAAGGGCTACAAGTCTTTGTAGTTAGATGGTAAAACCTGAGGGCTCTGTCTAATTGTCGTCTTTTGAATAAACACTCGCTTCTCCCTCCAGCTGCATCATTCTCATTATATTAGTCATTTAAAACTTATGTTTCCCCCAAACCCACAGCCTGACCAAAAAAAACTACTGATTTTTCTCAAATACTGTCACGGTGAGGTCAAACTCCAGCCTTCTCTGCTTTCGAACAATAAAATCCATTTGAAACTTTTTACCACAACTCTGGCTTGACTGTCTGGGACCAGAAAACACTACAAATATTATCTGTTTCTGAATATTATTCTTTGATGTTCACATAACAATACTAACCTGTACTTGTTTAAACTTGTTTTTAATGCTTTTGTATTCATTTGAGGGCCCTGCACTACTCTCACATCAAAACAAATGATAAAACTCCTATTAGCTTCAGTATCCTAGGATTGAGCCCTCAAATACTGAAGAGTTGAATCAAAACAGGGCCAAGGGCTAAAAAATTTACAAAAAGTATCAGACATCATCCGTAAGATAAGGGCAGGGGATTAAAAAGAGTTTCCTGAGTAAAATATGGAAAAGTTCTTTAAAATGAAAGGAGGAGGTGGGTGTTTTTAAAGAGAAAAAAAAAAAGTAATTGTAAAAGCCTCCTTTCTCCCACACTATCAAAAGCGTATTTGAGCAGTACAGACTTGCACTCAGTTACCACCTTTTCTGACATGTGAACTTTTATTAGAATAAGCAGAGAAAACAAATGGAACTAGCGAGCAGGAAGTCATGTCTTGTTGGTCTCCTTCCCTGTAATTTTAGTCCTTCCTGAAAAGATCCATTCTGTCAAAGCCACTAAACATGTGAAGTTAACGGAGGCGTACTAAACTAGGGTAACAACTAACACCAGAAACAAAGCCAACTTCACCAGGAAAGAAGTTCAACATCTGTTCCTTAGGAATAAGGATGCCTTAAGTTTCCTAGTGCCCATTACCAGTAAGACCTACACCTGAGTACATATCTGTGGGGTCTTTAGAAGCTGGAGGCCAAGTGCACCTAGCAGAAATGCTGCAACCTTCTAGTTTATTTGAAATCCTTCTCTTTAACTACCCAGCAGCCCTCCAGTTAACTATAAAATCTAGTTTAAAGGCCTCGGAGAGAAATGTGGAATATGCCAAGAGAGTTGCAAGGGCCATCAGTGTAGCTGTCTAGCCACTGACTGACAATGAGAAACCCTTCTAGGCTCTGTTGGGTGGAGATGAACTACAGACCACTTTCCAGCTGTACACAGATGCTTCTCCTGTGGCCCAGGTCCAAACTCAGAACACCAACAGCCCACGAGTTAATTCATCCCACTTGTATATGGCACCCCTAATTTCCAAGATAGCTTTCCAGTTGAGTCTGAACATACCAGCCAAGTACAAATAGAAGAAAAAGGCTTTGCCCAAGAACATACTCCTGTAGCAAAATGCCAGCAAGCAGAGATGACGTACAGAACTGAGGCATCCAAAGAACTGACTCCTGTTTTGGGCAGTGCCGCCACAGCCAGGTGACCCGGGATGGACACCCGAACTCTGGAGCCCCTGGAACTGCGAAAGATCAGATGACCGCACCCGGCCCTAGCATGGCTGGCTTCCTTGCTGGGGGAAGTGAATGACAAGGACGGGGTTTCCTCACCTGTAAGGCTGCGATAGGAGTATTTACAAGTGCCTCTCACAGGCAGGATGAACTGAGAGGATTTGGAAACATGGGGCTGGACCATGAATAGGGAGAGGTTTGGCCGGCATCAGGATGCAGGCTTTGAAATTGCTCTTGTAACTCATGTAGGTCATTCTGGACCAGGTTCATATTACAGCTACAAAACCTATTATGTTATTTGGTGGATGAAAAATTAATTCAGAAGATGTAAGAATAGGAAAAAAACTGAGAGAAATACAGGAAAAAAGTTCTGTAGAATGACATCCGAATGTGGGCATACTACATGCATCTTTGTCAAAAAGGCAACTTTTTTCTTCCTTGGAAGCAGCTAGATAACTTTCCAGGGGGTTTCAGTGTTGCAAATGGACTTTAAATAATATTTTTTTTGGAAATAATGGATGAGTATGCAAAACTAGATTTACATATATAATATCAAAATTTATATTCATAAATATGCTACCAAGGAAGCATGTTTTCCTTCCATTTCAGTTTATTTAATTTATCCTATGAAAATGTAACTATGGTCGAAGAAAAACAAAAGCAAGCAGTGAACCGGGTCCCTCCAGTATTTGAAACGTGTATGCAGCATGAGAAAAAGGTTCGTATTAAACTAGTTGGGCTATAGGCAGTCGTAGCACTGAGATAAAGCCAAGCAACATTAGTAGTATCATTAGTTTTGATACAGACATTTTTACTGTATTTGTTTTAAGTAGATAAAATATTTTTTCTGTTCTTCCATTCCTACAATCAAAAAGTGTAGGTCAAATGAAATATGGCTGCCCTTTCTTTGTATAAGTGAGGGTGGGGGGGAGGAAGTCTAATGCCCTCTGGAAATGAAAGCTCTCAGGCAAACTGAATACTAATTTTTCAGTAAATTACTGGTTTTGATTTGTGCTTAGTGGACCACTACATCCTGTCATTAGTGAGTTGAACTGCTCAATTTCCATAACCAGACTTGATATTGTGCTCAATTAAATTGAGGTCCCATTAATGAAAAAAAAAAGACTTCCTACAGTCCTACATTGACTAACAGTCATTAGTTAATAGGGGCTGGGAATTGAAGGAATTAGCAGTGTAAATTTTTAGTCAAGTTAGACACAATGATTTACTGAATACATGCTGGTTTTATTAATTTCATTTAAAGCATTCAAAACACTACTGCTCCTGAACAGGTTACATTTCTATTTGTAATTCAAGAAAATGAATCCTACATAACAATTTATAAGCTGCAGCACGCTCTTAATTTTCAGAAACAATGTAAATATGTCCATGAACTAAAAAGAATCTATGCAATATGCTTGTCAGTTCTTTTCTCATACTACACATGCATTCAGAAGTAAATGTTGTGATTTATGTGAACACAGTGTTGTGGCAATGAATATTATTCATAGTCACTAGTGACTGTTCAAAGATCTTTTTAAGTTTCTATGTACTCAGTCTCAAAGCGATGAAGGTGCATGCCACCAAGGACCTAGTAGGAACAGTCTCTGAATGGAGACTCTTCCCTGTTTATATTCTACTTGAATAACATATGATCATGAGATTAAATGGAAAACGTTCTCCAATGAGAGTCCACCTTCACCACCTCGCTAAGACACAGTGACGCATTACTTGCTAATTCATGGGCAGGCTCAACTATAACATCTATCAAGAATTTTTAGCTCAGGAATAAAAAGAATTAATTAATAGTTCAGTTATGAGTTCTCCAAATGCCCTTTTACTGCAATGCATCATGGTGTCCTTGAACTTTAAAGTAAAAAGATGCTTAAAATTCTTGGGGTAGTCTTGAATTTTTATTCAAACATTTAATTAAATGTCTTGTAAAATTAAACTAGAACAGGCTGTCATGGGAAAAATGGAATAAAAATAATGAATAATTACAACTCTCTCAACCCTAAGTTGTTATCTGAAATTATATTTTAAAATAAGTCCTGTTACCTTTTTGTTTATGTATATTTTTCACAGACATATGATACTAACATAATATTTTAATTCTTAATGACTGTATTTTGCTGCAGGTTTTTAATAAAGATATTTTTGTTGTTACAGAATTGTTTAGAAAGAGAAATAACTTCTGTAACAGGAAGTGAAGAGATGTGGAGCATAGTCTTGGCGCTTGGTCTCTGCCAAGCCTCACCTTAACAGCACATAAAATGTTATGCGCATGTACGGTGTGGACACGTAAATACAGAACCAGGCATGTCATGTGGGAACAGACCAATGGTTCAGCTAAAGCAGTGTCCATCTCAGAGGGACGGCAGGGTAGAGGGACGGCAGGGTAGCGTTGCACCTTGGGGCACCTAAGCCTTGGTTAAGTGCCCCCACCATCATTTTGAGGCATAGGACACTGAATATATGTGATGCTGTATTCATGTCACATGTGCCACCGCGGGTGCTTTACTTAGAGCTCAGAGAGCCACTCTAATTAAAGCACACCTCCCCCGTCCTGGAGCATGTGTATAGATGCTCTCAGAGACTACCTGGTTCAGACAGGCCTATGCTTTTGCAGGCAAGTGTCTCTGACAATGACCAAAACCAGGATTTTCAAACCATGGGGCAAGAACCCTGCAGTAAGGACTTGCACAGATGCTTGCAAAGCAGATTGTTCATCCTCAGCTCAAGAGAGACTGGCAAAATCTTTAAGCATGCAGCTTAATACCCCTCCCCAAATTTCTGCTGTCATGAAATAACTCTGGATATTGTTGGTCTCTATACACATATTCAACCTCTTGGAATCTTAAGCTCAGTTTAATCACATGGGTCAATTATTTCCTTTTAACAGTTTTTGTAGTAGAAGTTATAACTTAGAGGTGCTAATTTAAAGGTGCTCCCAAACAGAAGACTGAGGAATGTGGAAATTGGGAGATGGACCCTGAATTAGGGAGTTCTTTAGTTAGCGAGTTGGGATCTACAGAGGTAGCCTACTGATCCACAATTAAAGTTTGTTCAGTTCTTCTTAGCCTTTGTATGCCTGTATTTACTGAATCCAGTGAGCACTACAGGTTTTTCCACCGATTTAACTAAATATCCCTTGCTTTGCTCTGCTTTTCAAGATGGAAAGAACGGAAAGTCTTGATTTACTTCTCTGTATCAGTATATAGCATCCCTATATCCCTTTTGTGAATTCAGTGGCAACCTGATTCAAAAACTAATTTATTTAGTATACTACTAACCTGCTTGAAGGAAGAGGCACAGTTGGCAGGGAAGAACCCACAGCTGCAGTGAAGAGGAATGAGCCTGCACTTACCTTGCTTATCTCCCCTCTCCCTGAGTCCTCTTCAAAGACTGTCACCCTAGGGTGCTGTGGCACCCCAGCTGAGAATCACTGTTCTATACCATTCATTATTATATACACTTTTCGATGGTAAGCAATGCAAAGCATTTCAGGCTATCTCCATATAAGAGTAGCCTCCCTCCCCACTCCCTCCTGCCTGCCCTGATGCCTTTTGATTCCTGCTTGGGCACCATGCAGCTTCCCATCCCCACTTCCCTGCCAGACTGTGCCTTCCCTGAGCTAAAGGATAACTGGTGGGCTAACCGGTTATCACTACACTTATCGGTTAAACAATTGATCCTTTAAACTTTCACATTCCTATGATGGTTACAGCCTTTCAGATCATGAGCTCCCTGATGTTATTCTGTTTTAAATACCCATGTACAATTTTAAAATTACAGCACCAGAAGCACGAACATCAGAATTTGCATCTCCACGGCTGTACTCGGGTATGTTTTATTGTTGTATTTCAGAGGTTTGCAGCCACATGGTCAAGACCACATACTGGTCCTTGCATCTACAAAATGCAGGCACATTTTTCCACGCGCAGTTTTAAGCAAGTGCAAGTGAAGTCAAAGGTAATGAAACTGGACTCCTAGTTTTATAGGAAACATGAGCTGTATCTGTTTAGCTGTATGAACACTATATTACAGTAGGTCCCACAGAGAACTGTTTCAGTATAACAGCATACCTGATTCTGATGAAGTTAAGGGATGACTTCCAAATCTTGTTTCTGGTTGGCGAAGTTTACTCATGTTCAGCAGCTGTGTAACTTGTGGCACATCTTGATTTAATTGGCAGGCTCGAGGAATGACATCAGTGGGTTCATTAGCTGTGAATAACCCATGCATCTCTAAAATTAAAGGCAAAGAAGTTTAAGTCCAAAATGTAAACTATTATTAAACTGACAAGTCTGCAAATGACTGGGCTAACTATGCACTGTGTTTATTACTTTGAAAATTAAGCTTAAGTTGGAATACTTCATTGTTGTCATTTTCAGTTAGGCTGAGCGTGCAAACTTGTATTGAAATCAGCTATAGCAGTAGGTAAAGGAAGAATTACTGAAGAAGCAAATAACTGCGTCCTAATAATACTAGGGACTTCCACTATTCAATCTTGGCTTTGGTGTTCAGAAAAAGTGCAGTAATTTGTTTGCTTTAAAAATAAGAGTGTTCAAAGCAAGAGGCAAGGTTCTCTTGCATCTTCGAACTATTTCAATCTACATTATATTACAGATTCTAAGCATCAAACTGTCAGACCCTGATTAACTGGGTCTGCTTTTTCTTTTTACCTTTTACTCAATTTCAGTTGCTTCTCTGGTGTAGCGCTCAAAGGTTTTTGAAGCTCTAACAAGCCACCCTCTGCATCATCCATGTTGTCCTATAATGTAGCTTCATTTAAAGGGAATCACAGTACTTGCAAAGGGAAATTGCAGGTTAAAAATGGAGTCAGGTGTTTCATACTCTGCATTGTTTTCATAGTCTCCAAGTCAAATGGTCAATAGTGCTATAGTGAGATAGCATCATGTGTAGATGCGCCCTTAATCACATATACAAACATTACAAATTTAATTTTATAAACCCACTTTTTGTTAGCTGTTGATGACATCAACACATTACTAAGTGGTACAAAACCAAAGTCTTGTAGATTCTAGTACTACTGAAGCTTGACTTCCTATCACAGGTTACTAACTCGTCCAGTAAGCTTTGCCTCAAGCTGATCATTTTTGTATGAACTGGAGCATATTTTTAAAGATTCATTTAAGAATTTTAAGCATTAAAGAATCAACTATATTGCTAAGTAAGTTGACTGCAATAGCTGATTACTCTCTCCACCTTATTTCTAGCCTGAATTTGCCTAGTTTCAGCTTCAAGCTTTGGATCTGATTTCTCCTTTTCCTGCTAGATTAAAATGCAGTTAACCATTAAAATCTCTCTCTTTTGAAGAGACTGATCAAGTCACCTCTTAACCTTCTCTTGCATTATCTACATGAACTGAATTTTCTAAGTCTCTCTCTATAGTGCAAATTTTCCAGATATTGAATCATTCTTGCAGTGTTAAGAAAAAAAACCCTTCACATTTTTGATAAGATAGAATCAAACTAAGTCATATTAGCCTAGTTTCCATAAGCAGCATGTGGGAAAGGAAAAAATCAAATCATATGGATAAAGGAAGAAGAATCCAGCAGTAAGCTGTGGGTGCACTTGTCATCTTTAACTAAAAAGGTATCTTCCTACAACCTAGTTTAATAAAGTGAAATACTAAAAAAAGAGTGGGAATGAACTTCAGCCTCTAAAGAAATATTCTTAAATCTTTGCAATATGGAATCTACTTATTCACCTAATACTGGACTTCAAAGATCCCTATCAGCTTTCAACCTTCCTTTTCTAATCCTGATTAAGCAAACACAAAGCGGTTTCTTGTTTTATACTTAAACCATAAATCCTTTGGGAAAGGGACCATATTCTTCTTACAGGCTCAGACAAGGAATAGCACAACTGGACTCTGGTTTTCTTACAAAAAAAGTGCTAAAACAACAAATACACCAAGATGGTTAAATGAGAAAGCATGATTTTTTTATGCATCTTCCAGACAGATTAGGGTAGAAACTAGAGATTAGACCTAAAAATGTAGTGATATAATGAAAAGCTGTCAGCATAGTAAAATATTTCTTTCCCTTTCACCTAATTGCTCTCGTATGGAAAATAACTTCCCAGGTGCTAATATGAAAGAAGATAACTTTGAACCTGGAAACAAGAATAACCACTGAACATACACACAGAGCTAGTACCTCAGCAGATATAAATCATCTTAACTTCAGCACTTTCACTGGACTTAAATTAATTTAAGCCAGCTGAATATCTGGTCCCTGCTCTTCTTAGATAACAAGCCAACTTTGATCAAAATATTAAAAGTTAATTGAAAGTTTATAAATAATAATAATTATTGTTAATCTATAATTGAGAATATAGTATGGGGCTATTTTAATGCAACTAAACCCTGGGCAGTTTCCTAATTGTAACATTTCTCTAGATAAGGAAAATTCATAATTGCACAGAAAATATTAATGCCCACCAGCTGTGTAATAATCACAGAATGTGATGATCCAAAATGCAACACAGTGCCATGCATGCAATTTATTAAAACTGTCTACTCATTCCATTACCCACATCACGCTTTGAATTTTGCAGCTCATTTAGGACATTTTTGCACTGACTTAAAAACTGGAGAATGGAAAGGAGAAACAACCTATAGTGCTAGTATGGAACTAAATTAAAACCAGTTAAGTACCTTTAGCATCATAGGTACTAACTGAGACCACACTGGACTTTCTGATTTGGTTCATGATTAATTCTGCAAAGAATAATTTGTTCTAAAAACTTTATCACAAAAAAAAGGTGAAGTAGCTTCATGGTGTCACGTTCCTTTATACAGAAAATGAATTCACTACAACCTACCATGAGTCCACACTGAAAACACAATATTCTAACAGCCAATTAATTATTTCATAGGCACTTGCTATCTAACCTAATACTAAACAAAGATGGAAAAATTTATCCTGAGCCAGCTTTGATTCAACATTTGAACAATCCACAGTCACATCAGTTGAAATAAGGACATTGCCAATTGTCTTTTTTCTCAGTACCCCCTTTCAGCTGTCAGCCTCGGAAGCCACTCAGTGAAGGTTTGAATATGACAGACATAATTCCAGACAGACATAGCAGCTAACAGATACTGAAAGGGATGCTTGCATACACCACATTGGTCTGTGAAGCAAACAGCAGTCCTTCAAAACAGAATCTTTTACAAACTTAAATAACCTGGATATAATAACGCCAAGCAGAATGCCTCTCTGATGTCTTTTTGGACAATTAAGAATAGCTTGGATTGAAACGCTGCGTGCAATCAATGTGATAATACATAAAACGGTAGTTTAAGTCATGGACAGACACATTCTTTAGAACAACCTCTCTATCAGTCTACATGGCTCCAAAATAAATATAATTACTGCCAGTTATCTATAATCACAATCTCTTCACAATTTGGGCCACGTGAATGCTGACACTGTTTCCTCTATCGAGCTTCAGTGGCCACTACTCACATACAAGAGACTGTACCAGATCACTTTGAAAAGCACAAAATCAGGTTAGGTACCCAGGGAGTTAGGTGCTTTCAGGCACTTTAAAATCCTCTGCCACCCCTAATGTTCAGGGCCTTTTCTTCCTGCTTCCACTACCCTGTCCAAGCTACCTACTTAGTATCTCCCTTGATGTTCCTCACCTGCCGCCATGCGTTTTCTCCCCATGCTGCAAGATGCACTGGGAGGACTTTTCAAGTACATCTACTGAGTACTCCCTCTGTTCAGACTGCTCTTGAAAATATGCTAGTAAGTTTTGTGTGACATCTTTCAAAGTTAATCCTTGAGGAATTCATGCTACCTAAATTGATAAGAAAATCCCCAACTCTATATGCTGGTTTTGGAACTTGTCATCCTGTTACCATGTTCATCACATGTCCAATTTATTCTGTAATTTTGTCTAATGAGAACCATGGTTCCCTCTATACTTTTTGCAAGGCTCAGTAAATATTTAGAAAAAGTTTTTAATAATAATTAAATTAACCAACTATGCACTGACCAAGATGGGGCATTTTGGGCTTAGCAACAGCTGACCCTGCAACAGCCAAGAGGGGCCACTGCGACAAGGGTGACAGCTGTACTAGCCTTCATGAAAGGCTTAAAACGGGCTCTGGGCAGCCTCCAGATTGAACCCTGTCTGCAGAATCAGTAAACTCTCAATGTTCTCCAGATTTCCTGGGACACAGGAAAGGGAAGGGAAGGTCATTTCAAACTCTTGGTTTCTCATTTCCCCAGCTGCAAAATTGCTGCAATATTACTTTCAACAGACCTGGACCATACTGCAGATAAGCCTGCTAGCAACTGTGAGGGGCACAGAGACTATAGGCACATACAGACTATAGAGACTACAGAGGCATGATATCTATGACAACACGATGGTGTTAGACAGTTCCCTTTTCTTATCGTCTTGCCCCTGTGAATACGTCTGGTTATTTAAAGAAGGAAGCCTCCATCACTGGATAATGCTCCAACCACTGCACTGAATTTGGGAACTGGTGAAATATAGCTTCTTTGATTGTTTTGCATCTTCTTCTAGACTACTCTGTGGAATCCGTTTCTGTGCCAAAATAATCCCAGGCATTCTAACCTAAAAGCGGTTTGATGAAGCTGATGCTCTATAGCAGGGGTTGGCAACCTATGGCTTACAGGCTGGGTCTGTCCTTCCAGGTGACTGCATCCATGGAGCCCCTGGAGTCAGGACAGTAGTGGCATTTGCTCCCCGCCCCTCTCAGGATGGGGCACAGTAGTGGTGGGTGACAGGCACCACTGCCGATCCAGAGGGGACACCTGTAGGTCCCCCACCTGCTGCAGTGCAACTCCTTGTAGCAAGTCCCTCTTCTTAAGCTTTCACTCCTCTGCCCCGAACTATTTTTATGTGGCTTCACTGGTGCTGCCCTTTACCCTTTTACTGGTTCTGTTACCACTGGTTTCACTGTTGGCAGCAGTCAATGACAACAGGCAAGAGGAGCAGCTGGGGAAGCTTCAACAGAGGGGGACAAGAGCAAGACAGCAGCTCCCAGCTCAAAGCAGGGAAGGCTGGGGCTGTGGCAGCAGGTGGTTTGGGCACTACAGAGAGTTATGCCTTTAGAGCAGCATCCAGGAAAGCAGTGGCAGTGCCACCTGCCAGCGTGCATGCAGCAGCTCACCTTCAGACCCAGCTGCCTTAAAGGTTGCCAACCCCTAGTCTACAGAGCTACATATACATGCATTTATCTGATGTAATATATACTCCAAGAATAGATAGGCATAGCCTATACTCCATTTTTCAAGAAAGCCTTGAAATGTTTAATCCAAAGACTGATCCAAGAAGCTTTTGATTCTGTAACAGGAAAATTAATGACAGCACTGCAGGATATTATCTATAAACATACCATCCCCTTCAGCTGTATCTTGAGGCTTTGATTTTAAAGTGAAGATCTTTCTGAGTTTACAATTAGCTGAGATAATGATTCCATCCAAAGACTGGAAGACAGCACCTTTGAATATTTCACCGGTGAACGCTACTAAGTCAATACACAGATTACACCACTAGAAAAGAGAAACAAAACATTTTTAGTTCAATTCTTAAATTATTGCACTACAGTGATAACGTTTAACTCTCTACTATTCAAAACTGTGGTATGGGATTAGTCACTGGCAGTTTTCTGTTATACCATTGTGTTTTGCTATTTAAAAATATTATCTCAGTTATTATTGTTGTATTTGTACCCAAAATAATCACTATATCCAGAAATCAATATCTGCACATCTAAACTGATGACTGCATACTCAAATAAGTACTAATATCTGGCATATCCACGCAGAACGGTTTTATAGCTATTAACTAAAGGAAACAGTTAAACAAAATTGTTAACTGCTAGTGCTTTGATAAATATTTTTTCCTTTCAACATTACTTTATTTTTTTTAACTGCACTTCAGTGCCTCAGTATTTCTGCAGACTATGCTGAAATGCTGTTTAATAACTTCTACTAATACAGCTCCAGGTACTGACCTCTCAATCTTTCTTCCAAGCAATGAAATTATAAGGGCCTTAGGTGCTTTAGAAAATTATCCTGTTTAAACAATTTTTTAACTACTGAACTGCTAACTTGATGCCAACCAAGTTTGCCAGAAAGATGCCAGAAGTATAGTAGATAATCATGATTAAACTACAGGTGGAAAACATGTCACATATGACCTGCTCTTGTCCAATGTTGTCAGCAAAGTTGAGAATATCATCATGACCAGATGGTTAAAATTACTGTTTAAATACAATTTCTTATACAGACAAAGCCTAAAGGATGATTTTCCCAGTAGGGTCATAAAACATTGTGACAAAAATTGTATAGTATCACTGCACTAAATGTTCTTGTATTGTTCCAATAGTTTCTGCACCTGTCAGTTTTGATTTTACTCTAGCAGGTTAACATCTGCATGAGGCTCATTTTTGTATAGTATTGATAGATAAGTAGCTGAAAATTTTTTATTATTGGGGGAGGGGAGGCGGTAGAAATCAGGTGCACACTTTAAATCTACTCCCAGCCAACCTTAGACGAAAATGGCATCCATTATTGTTCAGCCCCTAATTCTGGAAGTTCAAAAAGGTAAGGAATACTTATTATGAATAAACTATGCAATGGAACAGAAATGCAAATTTTAATCATAACTGACATTTCTAAGTCTACTGCTGGAGAAGTTATCTTGCTCAAAAAATGGCATCACTTATAAAACTGCAGTAGAGCAATCAACATGTAAGAATACAAACCATGCTCCACCTGGCTTTCCTGAATAACAAGAGATGTATTTGGAAACAGCACTGAACTACGCACAACAAATATTCCCCTATTTATACAAGACTAGCATGCTTATAGAAATACTGATTTTACACTGAAGAGAGGAGCCACCAGTAATGAACAACATGTTCATAGACATACAATCTTAGATGTGCAGAAATATTAATTTTGATCAGAAAGAACAACATAGCTTCCACCAAGACGTACTATAAAAAGCTGGACAGCCAACAAACTAAAAACATAGTTACATATTCAATGTCCAAAGAATTTAGACCTAACCTTAGGATAGAGAGGCTGTTCAAGGATTAAGGTTATTAAAACATTTTCTCATTATAACTGATCAGAATGTTTAGTCAGATTTTTGATGAATGATTTATTGTCTGAATTAAACCTTATAACTGAAGTTCATATTCTGATTGATCTTAATTTATTGTCCATTAATGCATACTTTAGTTCTGAAACATTATTGTTAGCCTGACACCAAGGCCAACTAATTGAAACTATATTGAAGAAAAATAATTTATTTCAATGGATCTTGAATTAATAACTACTTCAAGGGTATGGCCTGATGCATATTAATTTTTAAATAACAGTTCTTGCTGTAAAAGTAGAAAAACTCATGGAATTTAAAAGTACAAAGTTAATACAACTGCCTTCAACTAAACTATTTTAAAATAACCCTTAATAAATTTCTGAATTTGTGAAATATTTTCTCTGATATCTAGCCTTACATCTGTGAAGTATATGAAGCTGTGAAGTATCCTATAAACGTTATGTATTTGTGCAGTGTATACATACTCTTAAACACTTTTAGTAAAGTCACTCATCTCATCTTCAGATACTTCTATAAGTGGCAGCAGTATTTGACACGGCTGATTCTCTATGAGGTGCCCACTAACTACTCAGATTTCTGTTCTACTAAATACTTATCATATGATGTGGTGAAATTCTAAAAAGAGTGGAGGTTGATTTTTATTCTATTATTTTGAAACAAGTCATTTTCATGCTTTTTAAAGTCGGCAAAAAAAAAACCACGAGGTGGCTGAAAAGGGTTACTTACTGACCCTGAACTCCATTAAAGGAGACAAAAGTTTAGGAGAGGATGGGAAGTTCAAGGACTGCAAGGGAGGAGAATTGGAGAGATGGAGTTTGGTCATGAGTGATACTAAGACTGGAAAGACTGCAGGAGTTCAAAATTTATCAGGACAGAAGGGTCAAGATGATACAAGAGAAAAAACCCGATACCGAGGCTATGGGTTTCTATAGGTAGATGAGCAGTAGCCAGAGAGAACGGCAAGTGGGAAGTGACATGATGTGTTTGAATAGAAAGAGTAATAGAATAAATGGAGTGTAGCAGAATAGGAAGCAGCAGAGATCTGTTATAACAGACAGAAAACACTGACTATACCACAGCTCCGCAGCCACCTCGGCTTTAGCTGTCACTCAGGCTGCAGGCAGGGATGAAGGCAGTCATACAGTTGGAGTCTGAGGAATATTATGCTCCATTCCCCAAATCATGCAACCTGCCATGCCACACACAACTGGGGAGTGGTGGGCACCTGGAAATAGGGAGTACCTACAAGTGGGGAGCAGAAAGTTCCCAGCTCTAGAGCTTCACCCCCCACACACCTGAAAACAGCAACTGGGGAACTGGGAGCTCCCCTCACTCTAGGTGCCACTTCCACAGGCATCTGGGTCTCAGCTGCATGCCCACTTTAAAAAGGTCCAGAGTGCTATGAGCCCAACATCAGGGAGCCTTTCCCTAGTGTTAGGTTTACAGAGCTCTGGACCTTTAAAATGTGTGCGTGGAGCTGGGACCCCTGAATGAATGTCCATGCACTTTTTTATGTTCCCAAGCGCAGTAATCTTGGCGTCAGGGAGAGGCTTCCCAGTGTCTCGCTGTGCCCCAAGGGTGTGGCTGGGGATGGGGGAGCTCTCACCTCCCTTGCTGCACACTGCTGGCTTAAAGAAGTGCCTGCACAAGCAGTGTGGGGTGGGAACAACTCCCTCACCCCCAGCTGCTCATGCTGGGCACCTTTTTAAAGGGACATGTGCAGTTGGGGATGGAAAAAGCTCCCCTCTCCCCTGCTGCTCCTATCAGGCACCTCTTTAAACCAGCACGTGCAACTGAGGCTAGAAGCAGCTCCCCCATCCCTAGCTGTACACCCAGCATCCTCTGTGGGATAGCTGGGTTCGGGACCTGGAGCTGCCTCCAACCTGATCCTGACAATTGGGCAAGGGGCAGCTTTGTCCTGAACCCTGGGGCTACCCCACGCTGGACCCTGATGCTCATTTGAGCATCAGGATTCAGGACCAGGTACCCCAGTCCTGGTTCAGATCCAAGCTGTCCCTGCCTGATCCTCAGGATCAGTGAGTGTCACACTCCAGAGCTGCACCAGGCCTTGAGGCTTGCCAGGGTCTGGCACCTTAAAGAAACGTAATGATTGGGGGCTGCAGGGCAAGGCTCTTGAAGGTGTCAGTCCTGGCAAGCCTGCATCCTGATACTGACAATCAGCTTACAGTTGTCATCAGGATGACGGGGCACATCACATGTTCAATTTACGGCACCATGCTAACCTGCCACAAAGATGTTCACATATTTTTTGAGTTATATCTGTGTGTCTGGTTGGCCATGTTATGGGTCCATAAATTTGAATGTGTGGTCAGTTGCTGTTTATGGCATGATTAACATGTTAATTGCTCCAGAAATATGTGTGCCAGGAGCCTCAGATCTGTGTGCAAAGGAGACAGAACTCAGCTGCTTGTGCTACCTGCTACTGAGCAGCTTGTCTGTCACTCAGTGCGGGGGGAGTTCAGTGAACACACACACATACATGCGCGCACACAAACAACATGATACATGTCTCCTCAACAATATCTTGAGGAAGTCGCAACCATTAATATGACACCAATCTTAATAAAATAGATTTACATATGCATATATATTCCAATACAAACAAACAGAGTTAAACTGCACATTAAGTAACATTCTTAAAATACCTACTATTTTGCGCTTGATCATAAAAAGAGGAATTTTTGCATGCAGAGGAGTTATAGACAACTCCTTCTGGACTGTTGATAAATACAATCTTCTTTTAGTATTTCCTAAATCAGTTACTCTGTAAAAGAGAAAGTGGGGGGTGTTAGAAGAGATGGATCTTTGTCAATTCAATAACCCACTATCTTTGGGCAACTACAGAAAACTATTATTCATATGCAGAACCTTTATATCAGCAATAGCAAATGGGGAATTTAAGAATTACTTCTTTTACAAGATAAGTAATGAGATTTCTTGCTCAAATCCAAACTTGGTGGCTACAAGCCTGCATATATAAAATCACTTTACATGCTAATTCTATTTCAATGCTCTACACTCTTCACTCGAGTTTCACAGCCCTTCAGCCTATGAAAGAATTCAATTTGTATGAATTGAGAAGCCACTAGCCTTTAATAATCATGCTTGTTACTGCCCCTTAAGCTTGTGTTATTTTGGGACACGCTGTCACCTACTAAATAGAAAAACATTATGGGCCGCCTTTTCCTAAAAATGCACCTGTCATTTTATATAGACTCTTTGTCAACTTAAGGATAGACACAAAACACTGACTGTCGGTTTCACTTCCTAAGCACATATCTCCAAATGTGAATTATAATATACAAGTTTATTGTTCACAATTCAGGTCATCTTCTAGTGACACCAAGGACACTGAATCCAAACAGCTCTAATAGATTTAGACCACAGCCATGATCACAAAGATTAGGTTTGCTTCAAATTGATAAAGAGGCTCATTTTTATGTTCTGCTCCCTTTAGGTCTCAGGGGTAGCACAGCAGGCTTAGCATCCCCCTACCTGCCCTGCCTTGTTATATTGGAAAATTGATGTTACCCTAAAGGCTATTTTTTTATACATGGAAATCATGATGAATTCATTTATTATTTTTGAACAACTTTATCTATTTCTACTAGACTCATCATTTCCTGCAATTAACAACCGCCCGGGAAGATGATGACAATTCATTCTGACAAACGACTCCCAATAAATGTTAAGAGAGTTTGGATTTTTTTCCCCCATTTTAATCAAAGCTGGTAAACTTGGGATTTAATGCAGGTGCTTCAGTCCAAAGCCAAGCAAGAATTTCTTCTCGGCACAAGTGGCATTTTCCCCTTTGATTTCTACAAAAAAGCATTGTGAAAATAAAGACTGTTTCTAGCTTTTTGTAAGCTGTGAAGACAACCTCCCAGAGCTGAGCTAATATAACACCTTCTTTCTGGAGCTGCTGATGGGTATCCTGAGAGCACACTGTGAAGTGCCTTCATCCCCCTCAACAGGGTACAACTCTGAAGCCTGTGACACATACTTAGATTGTCTCTCCAACCCTGTCCACACCACAGATATAACCGAGTCAAAGACCCAGTTATAAACCCATTAAAAGTTAATAGCAACTTCATAGAATTTATAGGAATCCCTTTACTTGTTATCCAGTCTTGTCACCAGGCAAGGGTTTTGGACAGCAGATGAACAAAGTGTCAGATATCGTGCACACTCCAAGAATTAACCTAGCTGTAATGGGTCCTTGCTGAAGCTGTACCTGTAGCAGAATACAGGGCCTAGACAAGAAAAAGGCCTAATGGTGTGATGGCTATTCCTTTGCTCTACGTTAGTGAAATTAGTCACAATGACTGAGGTTAGTAGGGATGCCCAATTACCATTACAATATTGAGAGTATTGCCCACTATTCCCTTAAACAAAATGCCAACGAGAGGTGACAACCCTGTCCTATCACACTTGTCCAATCCAATTTTTACTATTTGTTCAATTTTTTCTTTTCATGATCTCTCTGCTCCATGGCTAGGACAGCTTGAAAATTTCACCAACAATCCTTAATCAGTGGTTTTCAGTTATACCAAACTCCATTTACAACCTTTCCTTTGACTTCATTTTATGGTTTCTGCAGTAAGTCTCATGCAACATGTGTACACACTGAAATGGTTTCCCTTCTACACTTTACCTACTTTGGACAATTTAAAAATTCAGCCACATATTGAGTGAAACAAGATAGCTCTTAAATATGTGGCTCTCAGGACATTCTCCCAGCAAGGAAATGCTAGGTCAGGAAGAGGCCCCAGAGCACCCGCTAGTTTTTTGTAG